TTTTCTCATTTTCTGCAAGTGATATAAATGCTCGCTAGTTTGGGTGCAGTATTTCATCCCTAATTAAACAACTTGACCAGCTAAACTTCGAAAACAAACCCCGGTAAAACGTATATACACAGTTTATACGGTGAACAGGTATTTGAAAAAGTAAATAAAGATTTTTTATTTTCATAATTTGTAACCTTATAATAACAAGTTGGTTCTGCCCAGGCGACCTCTGCCAAGTTCTTTGCTGCGCTTTTGGGAACTGTTGGTTTTTTCTTGCTACTTTTAGAACTTACAATTTTACCCACAAATCATTGCATTTTTCTTTTCCGTAAGCATTTATACTATAGAAGAAGTTCCATAAGTGCTCTTATACTCGCTCTAACACTCAAAAATTATATAATTATACCTATTTAGGGGAAACGCAGCACTTCAGCAAGGACTATGTTTTCAAAGATAGTGACTGGTCAGCAGCTCAAATTGTGCTAGCTCTGTACCAAGGAAACTGGGCTTACGGAGGCTATACAATACTCAATTATGGAATGGAAGACATCCAAATCAAAAACTTTAAAAGGTTTGGGAAAGCTAAATTTACTGATTAAAAAGACTTAATACCATTTTTAAAGGACGGTGCCTCTAGCGGTTCTTTTTGGTCTGTTTCTCTCAGCTGGCGTATATGTACTTGCTAATGTGGCTTACTTTGCTGTGCTAACACCACAAGAAATTCTTGCCTCTTCTGCTGTTGCTACGGTATGAATGTTTTGAACTTATTTGGCAGGAATTCTTCTCCTTATAATGAAATGATTATTCATTGAATCTTTCGATCTAAATCTTTACAAGTCTTTCTGTTTCGGACATTCGCTCAAGAGACGGTAGGACCTTTCTCATACGCTATGCCTGCCTTTATTGCCGTTCTCATGTTAGGGAGTGTGAATGCGGAGATTTTTGCCTGGAGTAGGTAAGCAAATCTAACTTTCTATACTTGGATTATGATAAGAACAGATCTTAGACAAGGTAGCGTGACATCTTCCTCAAATCAAATTAAAATTTGGTAATTCCAAATAATTATAAGTAAAATCAAAATATCTTATCGTTTTAATTGGCTTTGTATCACACTTTTTGGAATTTCACCACGTCTCAAGGAAAGAGGGAGGGACACAATGCATCCACCAGTGGTATGCACATGCATTTATTATATATTTATATACTCGTAATGCAAGCGTAGTAGAAAATCCGGAGGAGCGCGGGAGAAGATTGACAGAAAGGCCGCGACTTATAATGAGTCCACGCCTCTGTTTCGCCAGAGCTGTTTGCTTGAAAATAAATTATGATAAATTAAAAAGTCATTCTTGCGCTAGAAAGCGGAGAAAAGCAGCCAGGGGCAGAAGCCAGTGCCGCACTCAACTTGAAGCGTCGTTGCTAATTGATTCGGTGCGCCTTATTCAAAGCAGCCATCGTACTTATAGTCTCAAAGAGGTTCTCTTAATGCCGCATGAGGAATGGTCTAATTTAGCGTCTTCAACAGCTACCCCTTTGAAGCTTTTCCTAGGAATAATTCATACTATGTTAAGGCGAGTGTGTTGATTTACAAATTCTTTAAGACCCGCTCTGCTCTAAGTCAATTCTATGATTAAGAACTGTCCACCGGCATCGGAGATTCTAAAGTCGCTGCACAATTTTCTTTATTCAACTCAAGAGCGATTTGTCACAGTCATCCTCCTTTGAAATTCTTTTGATCGCTTACAATGATACTTACTAAGATGCTTAGATATTCAGATAGTTAGATGGCCTGTCTTCACTAGTCGTGCAGGCCCCAGCATTGTTTCCATCTGTTTTTTTTT